TATATAGTGAGCCATAGTGAAATGGAAGAAAGCTGCTTGTTTTTTGTCTTTGCCATTTAGTCTGTATTTTCTTTATGTAGACAGCATTTCAAATCAAATGATAGCTTAAAGGGTACAACACTATAATCCCTTAAAGGCAGGGATATTATCTGATTTTTTTTTTGTCTTTATAGAGTGCCTTTCACTTAGGGGCACTCAAATTTTTGTTATTATGTCATATATTTGACATTGCTTTGTGGTTTATCAAAAATACATAAAGCCAAAGGACTTGTATGCAAGCATATAAGCCTAACCAATGGATACAGATACCAGGGGGGTGAGCGCATGAGTGGGGAGGGGGGCAATGGGGGGGGATAAGGACACATATGTAATACTTTAATCAATAAAGAAAAAAATTTAAAATACATAAAGCAGAGGGCTTAAAAAAAAGATTAAAACAGCACCATGAGATATCAAGCTATCTCTAAGCATCTTTCTGAATCTGAAAGCAAAGCCATAGCACAGGCACGAAACACTATTTATGTTAACTATTGTTATGCTATTGAAATGTGAAATCACAAATCTCTCTCTCTCTCTCTCTCTCTCTCTCTCTCTCTCTCTCTCTCTCTCTCTCTCTAGCAATATGTTGGCCTGAGCCAGAAGCATTCTGAAAAAAATGCAAGCATCATCCATCAATTGCTGTACCTGGCCCTCTCTGAACCTTAAGGATTCTTCAAGGTTTTTAATTGCAAAATTAATACACAAATGTATTCTTGTTTAAAAAGCCAAACATTTCAGAAGTAAATAGGGGGGAAATGAAAAGTCCTATTTTCCTATTACTCCCCATATTTTTCTCCAACCTCTTTTACTATCCTTATAATAATGCAAGAAAACTCTGCATTGCCAGACAGGGCTTCATTTTCTTTTTGGTCCTTTAATGGTAATTCCCAGGTGGAAAATACTAAGGAACACTGACCTAGATCTTTCTTAAAGATCTTAATTTGAATGAGCTGCTAAATTCCCAGGTTTAGAAATAGCTATTTCCACTAACCATGAAATAAATCTAAAAAGTGTGCTGAATTATAATTACTTTATGTTAAGACAGAATAAGATCAGATCTCAAGGGAAAGTCATTAACCATTTAATTGTAAACTTTTCATCAGAGAGCACTAGCTGACATTCATTGAGAATTAACTAGATGCCAGACCCTGATCTTAGTGTGTCATAAGATTTTCTAAAATAAAGGCTCAGCAGTGAAATTTTAAGACATGGCATGTGATCATCAGTACGTGTGTTCATAATATCTTGAATTTGTATATTTTCCATTATTTTGTTTGATGCAATACTGTCCTGGACTGAGAAATGATTACTGACATTACTTCAAATCTGAATTCACAATAGAGAAATTCAGTGGGTGGGTAAAGCCACAGACTAATGCAGTGGTGGGGCCCCTCTCTGAGTTCAGGTTCTCGAAGCTATGCCAGCATTTCCTAAACTTCAAGCATTCTTGTACTGCTGCTGCTATAGCTACACTAGTATTTCCTTAATGCCTTTAAATTGATTCCCTTTCTTTAAAATTAAGCTTATTTTTTAAAGAAACATCATGTAAGTGGAAAACTTATATGGATTATTTGCCATAAATAAAAAAAGATAACTAGAAAAATAAATTCAATAAAACAAAGCGATCTTATTAAATTCTGATTGATATTGTTGCCTGCTGGTATTCCTGAGCCTGAAACCTGCACTGTCTATTCAAAAAGTACATCAGCAAGTGGTAATGACATATGTTAACCAGAATCCATCAGCTTTCTCCTTGTCTTAAACAGAAAGATTGGTTAAAGAACTGAAAGAGAATTGAGAAAAAAGCAACTCTCTCCAATGTACTTTTTAAATGACATATTGTGCCAGGTAAAATTTCAAATAACTTCCTATTACCTATAATGATTTTGCCTGAGATTATGATACAAGTCCCACGATATTCTGGAAAATACACCAAAATGATTTGGAAATTTCCTGAAGGATCAATCTTCTTTATTTTTATTTTGGTCTCAGAATCTCAAAAGGAATCCTGTTTCTCACTACTCCAATATACTGAATAATAAATGGCAAGTAATATCAAGTTGGTAGGAATGAAAGTTATTAACCAAAAAACTTATTTTCAGAAGGCAACTGTTAGGTAGATGAAAACAGTGCTGATTTAGGAAGCACAATTAAGTTCAACCACACACTTACTAGCTTGTTTGACATTGATAGGTCAGTAAACCACTCAGTATTTTCTCATCTACAAAAACAGAAAAACACTACCTATATAACTCATGGGTACATGAATTAAAATGAGAGAAATGCTTGGCACAACAGACACTCAATAAATGTTATTTGTATCAAAAGTTACATATGACTTTCAGCTTATTATAACTCACAAATATCCAAGTGTTTTAATCTAAATAAAAATATCTCCATTTGTTTTACCTTAGTAATCCTGAGGCACTATGGCTCAGTTTCAGATACAACTTTGAAAATTAAAATTCATCCTTCTGAAAGCCTAAAATGCCCCAGAAAAACTGATCATTAAAAGCCTGGTCATCATATGGTCCAAAATATCTTAAAAGTCTTAAACTTAAAAAAAAGTGAACATGGCAAATGTAATTTGTATACAAAATAATTATCCACGTGTATAGTATCTGAATACATTTTACGATAGCTTGAAACTAGTGTCCCTTTCTTTACACATGGCCAAAGTAATAAGAAAGATAGCTAAAATTATAGTGCCATCTACAGGCAAAGAAAAGAATATCAATGACAGCACATTTTAATGCTTTCACATTTTCTAATTGCTGCTACTCAATGTTTTAAAAGAAAAATGGGATTTAATAATTTACATAATTCATTTTATGATTATATTGACATAATTTATTTATTAATGTATTTATATAATTTGTCATCAAATAAAGTAAAATAAAACATTTTCTCTAAATTTTTTTACTATTTAATGTATCATCATTGCCATTAAAATAGAGGCAATTTTTAAAATCCATGGAACTACAATCATCACTTTTTTGTGTCCCACCTAGACTTATTATTAAAATATATGACAAAACAAGAACTTTTCAGCCTTAAAAAAATCCAAAAACCCTATCATCTCAACAGAATGTCATTTTCATTTTTGTTTGTTGTTCCTTTCCAATCTATGTCTGTAGACATTTATTTAATAACAAGTGTCAGGCACTTTTCTAAGCTGCTTTACATATATTGACTCAGCAAATCATCACAATAACCCTAAGAAGTAGGAATATTACCATCCCCACTTTATAGATATTGAAGCTGAAGCACATAAAACTTAAATATCTTGTCCAAGGCCATGCTGCTGTAAGTGGCTGAGTCAAGGTTCAAACTGGGGGATTTTGTGTCCACTATCTATGCTTTTAATCACTATGCTAACGTATCTCTCCTTAGAAAAAGTTGCACTCAGTGTATGTACCGCATTTGTAATATATGTTCTGCTTTTAAAGGGTAACATTTTCTCATAACTAAAACTATGATCATCATTTTTAGTAATTAACATGTTTTGCCATCAAATTGATAGATCTCATTTTACTTTTGTTATCTAATGCTGGACTTTCAAACTATTTCTAATTTCTTTCATTATATATAAAAATGCTGCAATAAGCAAATTTTGCATTGTATGTAGCTCGTTTCCTTCTTTTGCATTGTATTTTCTTATGCTAATATTCCCAAAATGGTTTGACTGACTTAAAGTATATAGAAGTGACACATTACTGATACATAATATATACTGCTTTTTAAAATTTCATTATATAAAGTTAACAGAGCCCTAGCCAGTTTGGCTCAGTGGATAGAGCGTCGGCCTGCAGACTGAAGGGTCCCGGGTTCGATTCCGGTCAAGGGCATGTACCTTGGTTGCGGGCACATCCCCAGTAGGGGGTGTGCAGGAGGCAGCTGATCGATGTTTCTCTCTCATCAATGTTTCTAACTCTCTATTCCTTCCCCTTCCTCTCTGTAAAAAATCAATAAAATATATTTTAAAAAAATAAAATAAAGTTACCAGAAATTAGAGACTGCTCAGATCTTCCTATTTCCCCCTAAATTTAATTTATTAATATAAAGTGGTTAGGAATGGTTTACCAGTATGATGTGAAATAGTTAACCTAACAAATATTTAAATTTTTAAATGGGCCAAATGTTTTCTTCCTCTAGCAACATAAAAGGTAGAGATAATCCAATTATTTGTTGCTGAGGAGATTGGTGCTATCTTGATTCTTTAAGTGAGCCTCAAAAAAAAAAAAAATCAGTAACATACTCAAAGTCACTAGTAAGTGTCAGGCATGGAGTCAGCCCAGATCTGCCTGACTCTAAAAATCTATGCTTAGATAATGGGGGGAGGAGGAAAGGGGTGGGTCAATGTATGACAAGATAAAGAAGTTGTATAAAAATTTATTTCAATCTTCATTGAAGATTATTTATCGCATAAAAGGGTAAACTACCCTGAGGTAGCTATCATAGAGGGATTACATTTCCATGATGTATTTTTCTGATCAATAATTTCAAATATGAAAGAATGACAATAGCAGTTAACAAAATGATTCATCTATCTTTATCTCCAACTACATGCTTTCATTACAATCTGGTTTCATTTATATTCTAAGCAAGAAGCTAAAGAATATAAACATTACTCTAAAAGCATTCTTTCTTAACTGTTATCTTACAGTATTATATATGCTCTCCATAGTCCAGAAAGATTACAACTCTTATAACACAATAAAGGTCACTGAAATGTCAGGTAATAGATAAGAAACACAGGCTTTGGAGTCTTAAATTCAGACCCTGACACTTACTAGCTTATATGTCTTCTGGAATGTTAGTAGCAAATTCCTACATTATTGGGATATTGCTTAACTAAGGGAGATAACAATTATAAAACTCCTAGCATATGGCAGATGCTCAAACAAATTTTAGCTCCCTTTCCTTTGAAGAATGACAGATACATGGGATATCAAGGATACTGGTTTTAAAAGTCATGCTTCATTATTTCCCTCAGACAAACAGTAGCATAACATGAAGCGTCAAGATCAAAAGAAATCAAAAGAGATAAAGTTGCTTCATCAATGTGGGAACCTTCTGCTTTGACATCAATATCATGTTCTTCTATTAGTTGGTATGAGAGATTACGGGGTTGTTTCAAAATCTTTCTATAGCATCCTGGAACGTTCAGTTTCAGAGTAGGTACTTTAAACCTACATGTCTGTAGCCCATCTCTGCTAAGTACTTCCTGGTACCACAGCCCTACTTTGTTCTTTGGGTACTGAACATTGTATCCAAGCACTGGAAGAACCACCTGCACAAGGGAAGGGGGTAAAAAGATACATGAAACAGCCTTTAGAAAAATATATGATCAAATTTTAAATTTACTTTTATGACTGGGTCCTAGATCTGTAAAAACAGTCTCAGAATATAAACATACAATCAGCCTAAAACATACTATTGAATACTATACTACTTTATTTTTTATGCTAGCAGACAAAGAAAAGAGCTACCTAAAATCAAGAAGGATTCATAATAAACAAGATAACCAATTCAAGTCAGATATTACTAGACAAACCACTGCTAAGGTAGAAGAAATGGAACAAGAAGTTTAGGTACATTTAATTAACCAACAGACTTAATCTCTGTGCAGTCATACAATCCTAAAAGCAGATTCTTTCTGTAACACAAAGAATAACCTCTACTGCTCAACTGGTATTTTAGTTGATAATTTCACATCCCTCTTACTAATTTAAAAACATGAAAGCAAATAGTAGACAGCAAAAGTAATGTTTATTTTCTCAGCCGCTTATGAGTAGATACTGCATTCTGTGGGGTTTTCCTCCTTTACTGATGACCTCTAGACATTTTTCTTGAACGGTACAGAGGGTAGTCAAAAAAGAAACAAGGTAAAAAACTCAAATCCACACAATATTAATGTTGCAAATTCATTAGGCTAATTGAAAGAAGCCAGACACAAAAGGCCATATACTATATGATTCCATTTATATGACATTTTTTAAAAGGCAAAACCATAGGGATAGAAAGTAGATGAGTTGTTGCCCAGGGATGGAGGTTGACTACAAAGGGCACAGGGAAATTTTGAGAAGAGATGAAACTATTCTTTATCTTGATTGTTGTTGTAGTCATATGGCTGTATACATTTATGAAAACTCATATAAATGTAAACTTAGGAGAGTGCATTTTATAAAATATATATCCAATTTAGGATAAATATATATTAGAAAGTGGTAAAAAAAAAAGTGGGAGGAGGGGAACTGGTCACATTTTTGTCTTTTGGAGACAATGTCTACATTTAGATCTAAGTGATACTAATTTTTAAGCAAATTTACCTGATGTATTGCATATGCATTAGCCGATTCCTCTTCTTCAGTTACTAGGTGAACCTATTTTTTAAAAACATGATGAAAAATATGGATGATTCTCAAATGTTCCAAATTTCTTCAATTTTCCCTAATTTTGTTATGTAAAATTTGACTCCTATGCTGAATATACATATATCCAAACAAGACCTTTTCACAGTTTATTTCTGGAGGAGCAGACTACATAAAAATTAAAATTATTCTTCCCACTTTAACCACTGATAACTGAAGTTGGCACACACAGATTTTGGTGGGCAGCTTAACACTTCTTTACTTTTACCTCAGTCACCAACAATCTTTTTCCAAATTACAAAGCTGTTCTTTATTATGCTGAATCAAAAATCTGTTTCTGTCAAACCACCGCCACCTTTGTCCCCAACAAATATCAGACTCTATGGGAAGTGGTGTTTCTCAAAATGCACTTCATAGAACAGTTACGAGTATCACATGTAGGAGGTGTGTGATGTATTACGTTTGAGAAATGTTGCTGCAGGACATCACAGAATAACTAATTTCTCTTGCAAAGGAGAGCTCAAGTTCAAAGGCAGCAGCATCATTCCACAAGGACTGACAGCATCCCCACCTTCCTAAAGCACTCATCGTATAAGATAGTGTCCAGATAGCTTCTAAATCTGCTTGCTTTCCCCTTGATTCTCTACCCTTATCAATAAAGTTCCTCCTCGTTTTTTTGGTTTTTCACTTGAGTTGCTTATTTTTAGGTAAATAACCTGTTTAACTGTTATACTCCGAAATGGATATAAAACTCCAGGTGTGATCTGACCAAAATAGATGGGGCTATGATCTCTCCTGTATCACTTCCAGCTTTTTTTCTTTCACAAATTCATAGCATACCTACAATATTGTTATTTAAATAATTTATGAAAATACCAAAAAAACATGGCCAAGTACAAAAGACCATGTTTTGCCTTAAGAGAACTCTCTCCAGGTTAATATCAGTCTACAAACATGCTTTTGCTGTATGACTGCTCCCCAAATATGAATTCACCTGTTTAATTGTGCAACTCACATTTCTCTATCTTGCTCATAAAAAAATTAAAAGAGAATCTACCAAATGCCTTGAAATAAAGATATACTTGTTAGCCTAGTAATCCTATCAAAAAGGGAATCAGATTCGTTTCCTACCATTTTTAATTATAGATGTGCAACATTACATGTCCTATATACTAGTACCACATCTTAAAAATCTCATTCTGCTTTTTTCCTTTTCCTAATTTAAGTTTTGAGCCTCTAAGTCCTGCCTGTTCTTTTCTCAATGCTAACTAATAAAGCATAAATGATTGGCCTTAAAATTATAAACAATTTTTGCTGCTGATAAAAGGAAACTTCAGGATATAAAGGAGAAAATATTCTCTTTTCTCCTACAACTCCAAAAATAAAAGCTGATACAATTCTGACCACAAAAACTCCTTACTAATGTTATGTTGAACAAAAAAACCTACAAGACGCATGTATTTCAGAGATCATTGCTATGTCTTGTCAAAGTAACCTTTAACTTCTGCACATCTGAATGAAAAAATGGCTGACTTACTAAATAATGTACTGCCCAGGTAATATTTAAATGGACAGGTTATCTAGAAGGTGTTAAAAAAAACTTAGAATTTTTCATTATTTATTAGAAGATGATCACTGACATTTCTCTTCTTCCATTCACATGAGTTAAAATAAAACTTAAGATACTGCTAGGTTTCTTTCTACACAGTTTCAGTCTGTGTCTCAGTTAAATGACCATTCTTAGTAATGTATGTTCCTAGTGATTACTTTCTTACCTAAATATTCAAAAGCCATGAATATTGAAATGATAAAACTTAATGAAATAATAAAACTTGCTCAGCCTTTACCACCTCTTTTCTGGTAGCAAATTTTCCAGAGAGCTCCCCTCCCAGATCTCAGATACAGTTAGGGTGGGATGGTTTCAGGAAGGAGCCCTGACAACACAGGCTTACGAATCACATACTCCAGTCCACAGCTATGGGTTTGGGGAATTGTGACCCAAGTCACACCATGCTGAGCCACTGAGACTCAATTCCATGGCTTTTGTTAAAACTGTTGAGGAAAAAAAGCCCTCTTTTCTGGAGAAGTTGTGAGAAATAAGCGTAGAGTTGCTAATAACCATCTTGCCATTAAAGGAATAAAGTTTAAGCCAGACTGAGAATGAATCTAACAGAAAATCAGCTGACAGCTAAAGAAAATGAGGGATGAGGTAGGATATTGCCTAAGACCCTGGATACAGCTGGGCCTGGATTAATCATGGACTTCTAGGTGTGAGGGCCAATAAATTCCTGTCTGCTCTTTCTTATGTTAGTGTGAAGTGGGGTTCCTTTATGTGAAATGAATATAAATGTCTCTAAGATATTGTTAAAAAGTAAACAAGTTGTGAAATTGCGCTTATATAAAAGAAACACAGAACATTACATGCCCTATATACCATTATAACAAAAATCTTTTTCTTTCATATTTTAAGCTTTTAGCCTCTAAGCCCTGTCTTTTCTTTTCTCGGTGTTAACTAATAGAATAAAAATCTCCTTTTCTGTGGATATTTATGTGAAAGCATAGAAAAATATCTAGAAGGACACAGGCCCCAAAACAGAAGTTGGTTTTCTGGAGGCAGGGGAGGAGATCACAACAGAGTCATGGCAAGGGTAACAGCTACATCTGCAATGTTTTGGTTTTTATTTTTAAGGAAACTGTTTTGTGCATTATTTGTAATCTTTAAAAGAATGTGTTCGTCAAAGGAAGTTTTACTATCTTTGTACCTTTCACTTCACACCATTGACTATTTTATTTTTTCATTTATTGACGTGTATTAAGCCTCAGCTGACAGCAGAGTAGAAAAGGAGATGAGCAAATATAAGTTAAAAAGAAATAAAATCCATATTTAGGTTTAAATTGTTTCTAAAATAAGGGCTTCAGAAACTTAGTGTTCCTGCTAAGGTAACTACTCTTGGGAAATCCTGATGAAATGACACTTACTTTATTATTTGGGAATTGCTCATCATCACCATCTTCATCCAAACAGACCAAATCACCCTCCACCACTCTTGATCCATAGGTTGCAAGTCTGTAAGATACGGCCTCATTCCAAATTTTGCTGCTATACGCATGAATGTAGAAAATGCGCATAGAATGAGGAAAGGAGAACCAGGCCTGGATACAACCCTCCTCGGTCATGCTAAAGCGATGCAGTGACTCCAACAACGCTCTCTCTCGAACTTTGAATTCTGGCATCAATGAAAGTGTGCCTTTAGCATCCTCTGCAATAAAGAGAAAATCAGTTAGTCAACCACTTTCATTTAAAGGCCAGTTATGAAGACCTTTATTATGCTCTCTAAATGAGAGTCAATGAATTGCTGCTGTCTTTTACACCTGAATATGAAGATGTTCAGCACCAACTATAAATCTAACTACACTTGAAGAGTTGTTTTTTTAAAAATAAAAACCATTAATCATATGAGCCATTCACGTTCCCTGCTTTAAAAAACAACAACAAAACACACAAAAAAACAAAAACAGCCCAGCCAGTTTAGCTCAGTGGTTAAGTGTCAACCCATGAACCAAGAGGTCACAGGTCGGATTCCCAGTCAGGGCACATGCCCAGGCTGTGGGCTTGATCCCTAATAGGAGGCATGCAGGAGGCAGCTGAAGGAAGATTTTTCTCTCTCATTGATGCTTCTATCTATCCCTCTCACTTTCTCTCTCTCTAAAATCAATAAAAACACATTAAAAAATAACAAAAAGCACAGTAGTAATTCCTACTTCAGAATGAAGATAAACTAATTTACAGTTATTAAGAGGACTTCATAAAAGAGCATTAAATAAACCTCTGAGCCTAGGGATTTAAAAAGAGCTATTATGGACATTTATAGAGAATTTTTTGAATAAGAAAGGGTGATGTCTGGATTCCTCAAGCATAATATTAGATCTTGCTGGTGGGATGAATTTTAAAATTAGGAACTCTACTGTAAAGATGCTGATTCCAACAGGGCCTTGGAATCAGCATTTTAATAACTGTATAGGTTTCTTATGAACATTAAAGTGTAAATATCATTGAAATCATTGCCATAAGGAAATTATCTTCTCAGGACTCTACAATAGAGACAAATAACTCACTTTGAATTTTCTTTAGTATCACTTAGATTACTCATAATAATTTGAAATGCCCATATTATTTATAGATTGTGCTTTGGCATAAAAAATATTTCTCTCCTATGAATAATTACATGTTTTTATAATATGTACATACTTAAAAATAATGGAGATTTTTGAAAACTGGTATCATTATTTTAATGTTAGTGAAATTTAGTATGCACATATATGTAGATCACAGATTTGAATGAATCTAAAATGGTATGGTTGCTGTTATTATTACTTAAATACAAGTAAGATTTGTTCAGTATTTAGTATGTGCTAGGCACTATTTTAAGAGCGTTACATCTGTTATTTCATTTAAATGTCATAATAGTCTTTTAGGTACTATTATTAGCTTCAGTTTCAGGTGAAGAAACCAAAACAATGAGGCTAAATCATTGCACAAGCCCATACAGTTGGCAAGTACTAAAGGTGAATGTTACACTCATATAAATTGACTCTAAAACCCACACTCATAACTAGTTTTCTTTAGTGTTTCCTATTAAGTATTCTGCATATATATCATCCTATGGAGCTAGAGTTTTCAAAATCAGTAGTCACGGCTGAATGGCAACTAGACCAGAACCAATGCACAAAGTATCAGACATAAAAAATGTTCTTTTATTTAGTTTATTTTTCCATCTCCTCTGGTTGCAGTGAATTATATACTCCCATCAGTACCAGTTTAGAATTGGAACTCCTATCTCCTCAGAGGATTCAGATCAAGAAAAACTAAGATGCCATCTCTCCCCTCCAACCTCCCTGCAAGCAAAATTTAGAACAGACAAAAGACCTTAAGATCGGATCAAAATTGGAGTACATGGGGCATGTAATATAATGATTAAATATAGAATATATTGAAATCTATTTCTTATCACATTTATGTAGCAATGAATGCCCTTCTGCTGACATAGCATTTATATTATGTATCTGCATGGCTATGTATGGGGTAAAGAAACTTTTAAATACCAGTTTGAAGAAAATATTTCTTTGCTCTATTTACAGGATCATCCAAATCTTCCGGTGTAAGAAATAATTTTACAGCCTTCACCTTTAAAAATCAAGCAAGCAAACACGTTACATAAAAATGACAAATTACTTACTTAAAGAAAAACATGCCTCTTCAAAGAATAGGCATTTAACAAATGCCTATTTGATATTTGATGCTACAATTTTATCTTTAAACTTCCAAAAATTAAATAATCAATGTTGCCCTAGCTGGTTTTGCTTGCTCAGTGGTTAGAACACGGCCCACGGACTGAAGTGTCTGAAGTTCGATTCTGTTCAAGTGCTCGAACCTCGGTTGCAGGCTTGATCCCTGGCCCCAGTTGGGGCTTGAGGGAGGCAACCAATCAATGTGTCTCTGTCACACTGATGTTTCTCTCTTTATCTCTCTCTCTCTCTCTCCCTCCCTCTTTCTCTCTCTCTCTTTCCCTCTTCCCTCCTTCCCTTCCATTCTCTCTAAAAATATCAATGGAAAAAATATCCTTGGGTGAGGATTAACAGCAACAAAAAATAATCAATGTTACGTTTAGAAATAAACTTCTGTACAAAGCAAGCTTATATACAGGTTTAAAATATTGTGGACCAGAAAAAGTGCTCTCCCATATCTTCCACAGTTCTTCTTCTGTCATTCTTTACCTCTATTATATGAATACAAGTGTGAAATAATGACATAAAACTTAAACTTGACCAACATACACAACAAAAATAGGGAAGAAAAGAAGCATAAGGGAATGGCAAGCCACTAATTGCATTCATGTTCTCAAGTCTCAGAATTCATTAATTTTAAAAATAATTGCCCAATTCTTTTTTGAAATTGCTAACTTTAATATTTTCTTTTAAAACCTAAATAGATGAAAATATGTTCTTAAAAAAAAGAGACATCTACTAGTTCCTGTATTTTATCACTGTCTCTAGAACTGTGATTTATTTCCAAGTATATGTCTTTGAGTGGCAATACTGACTACAAATTTGCAGATGTGGTCTGCATCATTAACTGTCAACTGTATTTCCACGTACAAGATAATATTCACATGCACAATGCTTCTCACAAGTGCTGTTACTATTCTTTTCTCTTCCACTCAAGAAAACATACTATAGCCGAAACCGGTTTGGCTCAGTGGATAGAGCGTCGGCCTGCGGAATAAGGGTCCCGGGTTCGATTCTGGTCAAGGGCATGTACCTTGGTTGCGGGCACATCCCCAGTAGGAGATGTGCAGGAGGCAGCTGACCGATGTTTCTCTCTCATCGATGTTTCTAACTCTCTATCTCTCTCCATTCCTCTCTGTAAAAAATCAATAAAATATATATGTATTAAAAAAAAGAAAACATACTATAACACAAATGAGTATGGCACTATCATATGAATAATCTTGCCTTTATGCAAATATATAATTTTTATAGATTTGTAAGTTTTGCATATTATGTGCACTTCATGCAGTGCAAAACTATGTGTCTGTATATAATATGTAATTATATATAAAATATAGACTTTAAATGTATATGTAATTTTAATAACTGGGCAAATGTGGCCTCTTCTATGTGACATTCATTTATACTAGTAGTTTCATTTGAAACTAATCAGATAATTTTTCAAATCTGTTGTTTCCTTTTTAGTCTCTAGCTTTGGGTGAATTCCTATCTTATATATAATCTGATACCAGATTTCTAAAATTATAGGGTATTACTTTACTCTAAATCTCTTATTCAGTTCACTCAGAATGTGGTGAGTGTTGGTTAATTCTCTGTTAAGTCTCAAACAATATTGCATATGGCACACAGTTGGCTTTCTTATAGTATGATGCCAAGAATCTAGTAGCTGCTCAATATATGTTCAGTGATATAGAATATGGCAGAGGTCCTCAAACATTTTAAACAGGGGGCCAGTTCACTGTCCCTCAGACATTCCACACATGCGCACTGCGGGCCCGGGACGAGTCAGCTGCTAAGCAGGACAGGCAGTGGCGGCAAAAACACCCAGCGGGCCGGAAAAATGTTTTCGGCGGGGCGCATGTGGCCCGCAGGCCGTAGTTTGAGGACCCCTGGAATATGGTATATATTTGTGTGTGTGTATACATGTGTATACATGCTGGGCTAAGAAAGCAAGGAGCTGGCTTATGAGTAAGTGCAACTGTGAAAACAAAAAAGATCATATTTTTAAGAATACGTACCATTTCACTCTTCAGCAAAGCCAATCCAATTTGATCTGTGTGAACTTTCCTTCCCATCCCAAATCTCTGCGGCCCATAATAATTCACAAACCCTTTATGCTATGAATAGAAAGAAATCAATTAATTAAAAGTATATTGGTAGGGACTGCATGCTTGTGCCCCCCCCCCCCAAAAAAAGTCATATGTTGAAATCCTACCCTCCGATGTGATGGAATGTGGAGGTGGGGCTTGGGGAGATAACTAGGTCTTGAAGATAGAGCCCTCATGAATAGGCTTAGTGCCATTATAAGGAAAGGCACAAAGCTAGCTTATCCTTCTTTCTGCCACGTGAGAAAACAATGAGAAAACCATGTTGGCACTGTAACTTCATGCTCCCAGCCTCCAGAACTATGAGAAATAATGTTCTGTTGTTTAAAAGTCACCCAGTCCAGGATTCTTTGTTACAGCCCTGAACTAAGACAAATAAATACAATTATTGCATCAGAATATGTAATCAAGTCTTTCTCTTTATATTTATTTTAATAAAGAATCCTGTAATCAGCAATATACAAATGGGGACCAAATGGTCTGAGAGATGCTAGACAATTAAAGAATAAAAAGGAGAAGAATGAATGATTAAAAGTTAGAAAATAAGCTGAGTGAAAAAGCTTTTAAAATGTTAGCTTTTCATTAACATTACTGAGGGGTTTCCTGGGATGTGGGACTTTTGGTGCTAAAATGGGGCAAGTTCTGGGAAAACTGGGATGAATTAGTTACCTAGCATTATATCTGATCTTTGCCCTGAGCTCTTTCTGAATTTGAGATTCTGCTGTCTGGACATGTTTGGAATAAGAAACAGATTTATTTTCAAACCCAGTTCATCTTTCAGTCATCTCAGTTTCTGAAAGCCTGGGCCAAGACAATAACATGGTGTCACTTCACCAAGAATAGAAAATTGTAATTTATTACTATAACCATTTAAAGACATTGGTCAGTGGTTAAATATATTCTCACTAAGAAAACACCAGGCCCAGATGGTTTCTTGAAAGAGTCTTCTACACTCACTTTATGAAAGAAGTATATATTTATTCATTCAACAATTATTATTGAGCACCAACTCCAGGACTGTTCAATAAAGATGCTAAGACAATTTGTTATTGGCATGGTACAAAAGGCACCCTTACCTCATGCTATTCATGAAAATCAATTGCAGATAAAAAATAAGTACTCCCTGTATTAAATCTCATAGTTAACATTTTAACTATTTCAAATTTGAAAAAAAAAACAACATAGGATAATATCGTAGAATAGCCAGAAGAATTTTAACTACCTCTTCTAATTACTTAGAGTTGGAAATAACAAAGTTTATAGCAATCAGAGACATGACCTTCTAAAACAAAACTTCAAAGACTTCTTACCAGTATTTTCAGGGCTTCTCAACTCCCTTCCCTTATTATGAGAACTAAAGAAAAGTTGGCTAATGCAAGTATTATTCCAAATGGGGATTTTTATAATGAGCAGTTACATATCCATAAGTACCAAATGAGACAGACAATAAATGCTATCAGAGTTTAGACCCCCTCTTTTGGTGTTCTGAGCATCCAATTTCAATGTGGAGAGGGAGTTCCCACACCAACAAGCAATTCTCTGACATCAGTTGGGTGCCCCACCATTCAACTCAATTCTGACACTATCTACTCAGAGATAGCATCAGATGCTACAGGTTAAGTCAGGGGTCCTCAAACTTTTTAAACAGGGGGCCAGTTCACTGTCCCTCAGACCGTTGGAGGGCTGGACTATAGTTTTTAAAAAAAACTATGAACAAATTCCTATGCACACTGCACCTATCTTATTTTGAAGTAAAAGAACAAAACGGGAACAAATACAATATATGTATTTGCATGTGGCCCGCAGGCCGTAGTTTGAGGACCCCTGGAGGTGGTCAGTCGTACAAGACCTGCCTCACCCCCACCACCTTCAGAAGCCAGGTCAGTCACAAACCCAGGCTGCACATGTGCTTCTGATGACCTGCTGTGAACTGAAGGTTACAACAAACACTCCTTGGACTTCAGATACCAGCCGATAGTTCAGGTTGTTACCTTTACTTCTGACCAGCTTGCTTTAAATTAGAAGTTTCCAAGATCCCTACCTCGTATTCCACTAACTTGCTAGAGAGGCCTTCAGACTCAGAGAAACATTTTACTGACCAGATCACCAATTTATTATAAACTCAGAGTCATGTGACCCAGGAATAACCAGACGGAAGAGATGCATAGAACCTACGTGGGAAGTGGTGCAGAGTTTCTATGCCCTCTCCAGGTGGACCAATCTCCCTGCATATTCTACTGGAGTTCATCAATCCAGAAGCTCTCTGAATGAACCCTTCTTTTGGGTTCTTTTGGGTTTTTATGGAGATTTCATTACAGAGGAATGATTAATTAAATCATTGGCTGCTGACAATTGATTCCACTGTCAGCCCCTACCTCCTCCCAATTCAGGGGGTGGTACTAAAAGTTACAACCCTGTAATCATAAAGTTGGCTCCATATAAAACCAGCCCCCATCCTTAGGGTCTTTACAAAAGTCACCTCATTAACACAACAAAAGACAACTCTATCACTCTCAACACTTAGAAAACTCCAAGGGTTTGGGAACCTGTGAGCCAGAAACTGTGGATGAAGACCAAATATATATCTGAAAAATATATTTTAGTCATATGAATGACCAAATATATATTTCTTATAAATCACAATATAGCACTTCCTTCCTTTTGTAAGAAAGATTATTTTAATAACAGTGTTTCAGGAGTGAAAAGAATTTTAGGTAGGTCTAGAAAAAAAAGGAAAAACTGTTAGGCAAGATAGATAGCTGCTAGGGCTGGAGGAGGGGGAAGTGGGGGGGGGGGAGGTGCTTATCTCACCCACTGAACAAAGAAGTCAGCAGTCTTGGGACTTGCCAAGATAAAATCGCCAGATGTTCTCATACATTCTGGGAAAAGCCACAACAATGCAAAGAGGGACCTTGAAATCTAGTCTATTGCCCAAGGTACCTGGCAGGGGAACCTTGAAACCTATAGGGGGAAAAGTACAGGATGTCCCCCCAAAATACATACACCATATATATATAGTATTTATTAAAATATTTTTCATTTTCAAAATGTAATAGGAGCTAGAGCTATCAGCTGTTAAAGTGTGTATACATTTGGGGGAGGGGGGAGACACCCTTATAAAACCCTTGAACCCTCACCAAGCAGGGCACTCAGACTAGCTGAGTTGCCCATTTGTGCTTTATGCTTTATAAATTTGATTGCTTTGTTTTCTTAATAATTTCATCTGCTTTATTCAATACTGCTTCTGTCACTAGTCTGAGAGAGAGAGAGAGAGAGAGAGAGAGAGAGAGAGAGAGAGAGAGACAAGAGCTGAGGAGGGGAGAGGCCCCTCAGACTCAGGTGGCTCCTCCGGTAACAAAACTGCACATGGAGTATAAATTAAGAGAAATCCTATACACAGGTGAATGTGCTGGATTTAAAATCTTTAATTGGAGAATATTTTCCTGACTATAAGACATAATATTGATTAAAAAACAGTTTTTGTTTGTTTTCCTAGGGGGGGGGGGGGCGCATAAAATTGTATAAAAAGGTCTTCATGACCAGAAACTTAGATCAGTTTTTGTCAATGTTAGCTACAAAGTAGAATCATTTAGGGAGTTATTTTTTAAAATACTAATGCCTAAACTGCATCCCCAAGTGTCCTTATTTAATTGGTTTGGGGGGTAGAGATTCACTGCTGAGAATTTTTTAAGCCCCGCAGGTTGAGAATTACTGTCCTAGATCAGGACCTGGCAAACTACTGACTGCCAACAAGTAAAATCTGGCCCAATACCTGTTTTTGTAAATAAAGTTTCATTCGAACATGGCTATGTTCAACCATTTATGTATTGTCTATGGCTGCTTCCACACAATAGCAATAGAATAGTTGCAACAGAGACCATACGCCTACAAAGGAAAAAATATGTATTACTGGATCTTTATAGAAAAAAATTTGCTGACCCATAGTCTAGAGCAGCCGTGGGCAAACTACGGCCCGCGGGCCATATCCGGCCCGTTTGAAATGAATAAAACTAAAAAAAAAAAAAAGACCATACCCTTTTATGTAATGATGTTTACTTTGAATTTATATTAGTTCACACAAACACTCCATCCATGCTTTTGTTCCGGCCTTCCGGTCCAGTTTAAGAACCCATTGTGGCCCTCGAGTCAAAAAGTTTGCCCACCCCTGGTCTAGAGTCTAGACAATCTGATTGAAGGATATGATTGTATACGTATATTTAAATGCCTAGCAAATGTCATTTAAAAATACATGTTAAGTAATTTTTTACTGTAACACATAATATAATGTATATAATGCCATTTGTATACATTGAAACAAAATTCAAAATTAGATTGAAAAGAAAAAAAGAATATGTATAATTCTAAAAGATTATTTTCCAAATCACCAAAGATTTCTGAAAAGAATTACTAAACAAAGTTTCCAAAAACATTAATCCCTTTCCCTAAAATATTACCCTATATGGCAGATGCTGAAAAACATTCTTCTTATACAGTTAGCTTTATTTTTCCCCATCTCTGGGAAACTTTACACATTTTATTTTTTTTAATTATATTAAAGTTGTTGTTGTTTAATACAAAAATGTACTAAGAAGAAAATTTAAAAATAAGCCAAATGGCCCTAAATATCATTTTAAAAAAATAATTATATAGGCCCTGGCCAGGTAGCTCGGTTGGTTAGTGCATTGTCCCAAAATGCAAAGGTTGTGGGTTTGATATCTGGTCAGGACACATACAAGAAGCAATCAATGCATACATAAGAAAGTGGAACAATACAGCTCTCTCTCTCTCTCTCTCTCTCTCTCTCTCCCTCTCTCTCCCTCTCCCTCTCCCTCTAATCAATAAAAAATTATACATGTAAATAAAAAGAAAAGGTAAAAAAGAAAAAGTTTATCTTCTCACTTCAATGTAAATAGAGGGACTATCAAAATGTTCCTATAATACTCTTTTAAAATTGAGTTTTCTTACCTTAACATTTTCTATTGCCTCCAAAATTCTCTCTCTCAGGTTTGCAGAATCATTTATTTGGTTTTTTAAATTTCTGATGACAATATCAAAGTGATTTCCTTTGAGCTGACCAAGTCTAAGGGAATCATCTACAGACCGAATATTAAACACATTCATTCTTTTCTTTTTAATTTCTTTTTCAATATCTTTCAACCTATAAATGATAAATCATATAGACTCAGTTAAATCTTACATTAAAAAATATTATAAGTTTTGAATGACAGTTGCCAGGTAATCACTTATATCACAACACTAAAACAAAAATTTTTTCCATCTTCCAAAGTTAATGTTAATTCAACAAATGTGCACTAAAACCCCATTATTATAGGATTATGTTGATCAGTTATTATTTAAAAAACTGGGATATATATTCCTAATGTTATCAACTCAATCTATGTAGACTTTTTGACTTTTTAGTTCAAGTGATATAATTTCTTAACTGTTCTTTTGATCTTCTTATTCTTAAATGTGTTCCTTTCCTCTCTCTTCCTCCAACATTAATAAGAAAAACTACTAGCACCAGAGGATTTCCCCAAAATTATGCTCTGAACTCAAACTTTCCATTCTTCCCCAACATCTAAAGAATAGATTCCAACTATTTGCATAACTTTTAAGAGTATGTAAGAACTGATGTTAATTGTTCTTTACATTCATATTTACTGTAGTTCTTAATGTTAAACTGTTTTATCAGACAAACTGTTTAGCTTATTACCTCTCCAAATATAGCTTCAAATTTTCTGCATTGTCTAAAACCTTACTATTACTTGACAGGTCATTAAAACCCCACACCCATGAGCCAAATCAAAGAACTCTCTCCTAGGAACCAATAATACTTGTCTTTGGGTAATTAAAAACCAGCTTTTAACATCAAATACCTTTTAACATCTAAAGTCCTTCTCTCTTACCTATACTGCGCTTTTGATCATAAAAACAAAATTATATACTTTTTTTGGTCCCTCATATTAGAGCTTAACAGCGGTTCTCAACCTGTGGGTCGCCAACCTGTGGGTCACGACCCCTTCAGGGGTCGAATGACCCTTTCACAGGGGTCGCCTAAGACCATCGGAAAACACATATATGATTACATATTGTTTTTGTGATTGATCACTATGCTTTAATTATGTTCAATTTGTAACAATGAAAATACATCCTGCATATCAGATATTTTACATTACGATTCATAACAGTAGCAAAATTACAGTTATGAAGTAGCAACAAAAATAATTTTATGGTTAGGGGACACCACAACATGAGGAACTGTATTAAAGGGTCTTGGCATTAGGAAAGTTAAGAACCACTGGCTTAGAAGCATTTACCTGCAAATAGTGCATACTTAAAAACATCTATGACTAAGGATTATACATCTATATTACCTCAAATTAGATTCAATTTTGGCCCAGTGATCAACTTTTTGAAAAGTAGCCACAAGGCACAGATTTAAGTACAATAATATTAATAACAGTATTTTTTACAGTGAAATATTGAAACAAATTTCTATTTCCAAAATTAGGGAAAAGTTAAATAAATTAGCCTAAATAATGGAAATAATTTTGAAATATTTCATGACACAAATTTCCTTAAAAGGATCTTAATTTTATAAGTAAAATATAAATTGCAAATACAATATGATTTTCACATATATAAAAAGTCTTTGTACAATGTGTGTATATAGGATAGTCTCTGAAAAATGCATGGAAGGAATTTTTTTGTGGTTCAAAATATTATTGTGGTTCTTTCTGAGTAATGGAATTATCAGTGACTTTTAATTTCTTTTTTATATAGCATTTTTCTATTTTCTAAATATACAATAAACATGTCTTTCTTTGACAATACCCAAAATACTTTTAATAATCAATTGAGCTCAAGGGAGGCTAAATTTGAATGCTTTACTTTCTATTTAGATTTATTTTAAATATAAGGAAGCACAACAATAAAAGTATAAAAGTATTATAGTAATTAGGAAAAAAAGATTTGTAAGACACTGTCCTGAATATAAATGCATATTTGAATATAGAACAGGATGTTTAGAAACAATTTGATCATTTAAAATCAGCCACTTCTCAAAGTTTCAATGGTAAAATTATCAATATTTGCAATGTAAATTTACTAGAAAACTATATAGAAAATAATTATGTTATCAATGCGGAATGTGTTGCTCAATAAGTCTATACTCAGTAAAATAACATTAACGAGGTTAATATGCTCCTAGAATTATTCAGAGTTTAATCCTATCTTTTCTTTTTTGATGTAATAAGAAAAAAATTATCTCTTATCAAGTAATGTTTTATTACCTCTCTGGAGTCACTTTTCTAACAACCATTGCTTGATAGGTGATGGCTTTCTTGTCTTTAAGGCCTGCGTAACTAAAATCTGAAGGAATCACACCAAGTATGACAGCTAAAAAACCAATTGCTTCAAACATTTCTAGATTTTCTTTTCGTAGGGTAAAGGCTGAAAAAAAAATCCGAGGTTACTAAAAAGGCAGCTACCATACATCAAGGACATTCTTAGCAGACTAACAGATTAATATAATGAATCAAGTCATTAATTTAAATGCGTATTTTTTAATAAAAATACAAAATCAGTGTCAGATTTCAGTGGTCATTTTTAAAATGCCAATTGGCTCATTAAAGGTTTATAGAAAAAAAATCCAAATTCCTTAGTTTGGCATTCGTATTAGGTCCATTCTCCCTTTTCAGTCCCCACATGTGCCACTTCCATTCATATATCCTATAATACTGATAGAGAATGTCTCATAATCCTTGAGTGAACTAGAGCCTTCCACAGCTTTGTACTTTTGCACATCTGAGTTTCTCTGTCTAAAATATATGTTCCTTCCACTTTGTTTGCCATACTTGTATTCATTCTTCATAATCCAACAGCAGCAGCAGTCCTCCCTCATATTTTTTCCAAGTTACCAACTCTGAATGCTCCCAAAGCAGGGATCATGTGTGTTTTATCAACTATTATATCCTCAGCTTAACACATAATAAGTATTCAAATACTTGTTGAATCAATGAATAAGTGAACTCCACAAGGAGATGATTGCTTCATCTTGCATGTCTCCACAAATTGTCATTATCTGTATCATGACACTTAATACCATGTATTAAAATGTATCTCTTTATGGTTTATCGACCCCATAGACTTAGAGTTCCAGGCCAGCAAGCCAGTGAATAAAACAATGCATGCTTCATAGTAGATGGGAGTGAGATTGTGGAGATGAGAAGGAGGTCCAAGCCCACCAAAAAGGCCCCCAATACATTGACCTATGTACCCTGCCAGCATTGACAGTGACAAAATACAGCAATCCTCAGTTCACCATATATACCTATAAGATATTTCAGCCCTGGCCGGTATTTCTCAGTGGCTCTAGCATTGACCCACTGACCAAAGGGTCACAGGTTTGATTCCCAGTCAAGAGCAGGTTCCATCCCTGGCCCTGGTTGGGGTACATTTGGGACGCAACCAATCTAGGTTCATAGGTAGATAGGTACATACATACATTTTACATCTTTCTACTTGCTGGGTCATGTTTATGTTTAATGTCCATTTTTCTTAGAACACTCTTCAGAGAGGCCCATAGCTGCTGATTAAAATTACAATTGCACACTTTGAGGGCAAAGTGGGTTTACAGTTATTTGTATGGGAAATAATACAATGATTAATAAATAATAATCTGTTTATATAAAACTCTAATATGCAACTAGACCGAATGGCGGAACCGAACCGAACAACCGAACAATTGGTCACTATGATGTGAGCTGACCACCAGGGGGCGCGCGCGGAACATGGCAGGTGTTGGCAGCAGGCAGCAGAGTGCGGAACATGGAGGGCATCAGCTGAGGCAGGATGGTGGAGCAGGTGAGTGGGGGCGCCAGACCAAGGCGGGGTGCCGGTCGCTGTCATCGGGGCAAGCCTCTAGTAGTTACTGAAAATTCTTTGCTCCCACATGCCGTGGTCCCGACCAGAGCTCGCACCTGCTGCCAGTGCTGGAGCCGCCGCTCACACCCTCTGCTGGCACCAGCCCCACTCGCACCTGCAGCAGGTGCCAGAGCTGCCACTCGCACCCGCTGCCAGTGCCCAGCACCAGTCCCGATCACCTGGCACCGTCAGCGGGTGCGACTGCTGGCCCCAATTGCCCCTGAGGGCTTCTCCACCTCCCCCTGCTCCTGAGGGGTGATCAGGGCAGCAGACACTGCTCACACCCACTGCTGGCACTGGCCCCAGTTGCTCCCCGCAGTCACGGGGTACAAGCAAGGCCGGCACCATCAGCGCATGGAAGTGGCAGCTGTGGCAGGAGCAGGGCTGCCAGCAGACAGGGGACTGGGGACCATGGCAGGAGGGGCCGGGCCCGGATGCTGAGGATGGGCCAAGACCTGCCCCTGTGCCCACCACAGCCTCACGGCCCACAGTTCCTTTCCAGGTGCACAAATTCGTGCACTGGGCCCCTAGTTCAATAATAAACTTCATGTTCTGTGTACTCAGAACTGCAAACCTACTTTTGCCCAACCTGTATATGAAATAGCTAAACAAAGCTTGTAATATCCATACTTTGGAACATCATGTAGTATTTAAAAGAATGGGGAAGAGCTACATGCTCTTTATATGTCTATGTAAATAATCTCTAAAAACAAAAATAGCAAGATTCAAAAATACACATGTATATCACTTATGTGAAAGTTTTAAAAATCTGCAATGCAACGTAGTATATTTTCAATGTTTCAGTTTTTATAATAAAAATATATTGATATTTTTACCTAAATCCTTAAGAATTGTTAATGTGTAAAACTATAATTTCTGAAGAATATTCAAACACTGTCCACTATTTTCAACTGTTTTTTATCACTAGGGTCATTAATTTTTGTACCACCATAACAGCTTCCTAGATTCTCCAAATTTTCTATTACAGCAGTGATAAATTAAATGTACTATGACTCCTGTTTCTTAAAGAACTGATAAAAGAAGTAGAGGAAAGGAGAGGATCATACAAGTTAATTCTGTGTGCTAAATCACAATTTGCTTTTACACTTTCAGAGTATCTTGACCAATGGATTTGAATATAAACCTCTGATTTTAAGTTAGCTGTTTTATCAGTGTCTCAAATAAAATAAAATAAAATAAAATAATAAAACCCCCACATTAAAATGTAGAGATTATAACCTCAAAAATAGTTCAGCTATTGTCATGATAGGATTAATTATAGAATTTAAATAAAATAATCTGGGAAGAAAGGTCAATAAAACAAAAATGATCACTGCTTTGGGAGCATTCAGTCTTGGAAAAGAATTTGAGAAAGAAGTGCTGCTGTGGTGGGGGCCTGAAGAAGGAATAGAAGTATGGCAAATAGTCAAAGCAATAGAAAGATCAAAATATCAAATATTTTCATCTGTCCATAATGTTCTCCCTTTTTCAACTACATGCCTGTGTGAACTGAATTCTGTTCATTTGCTTCAGTCAAAACAAAAAATTACACTAGATTGCAGGAAAAGAAATGAGAATTCAGCTGACTTTTTATGTCAGATATTAGAAAGATTTATAGAACTATAAAATAATACAATCCTCACTAATTTTTAGTAGAAAAATATGATCATTTTTCATTACGTGGAGGAGAAAAAGATAAAAAATATGAACAATGCAATGGCAATAAATACATACCTGTCAACAATTCAATCTAAAAATCAAAATAAACGAACAAGGAGTCTAATGGACAAAAAAAAAAACCTGATAAATAAAATAGAACCAGGGGGTCAATGGGAGGAAAAGGGGGGACATATGTAAAACTTTCAACAATAAAGATTTAAAAATAAATAAATAAAATAAAAATAACATAAAACCAGAAGCATGGAAACATGGAACAGACAGATGAATCTCAAAGAGAAGGGGGTGGGGTGGCGGGGGGTGGGTGAGATTAACCAAAGACTTATATGCACATAGGCATTACCCCTGGACACAGACAATAGGGCAGTGAAGGTCTATTGGGGTGGGGTGGGATCCTGGTGGAGGAGGGCAATGGGAAAGAAAAAGGGGAGGACATCTGTAATACTCTCAACAATAAAGATTTTAAAAAAGAAAAATTAAGGGCATTCAGCAGAAACCACAGAAGGATCCTGCTATGATAGTAGAACTATGCTGGGGTCCAATCCCAGCGGGTCCAGGGGTCCCCAAAGGTGTGGACGGAGTCGGCAAAGAAGGAATGACACGAAGACAGCCTTCAGTTGATCAGCAGCCTAGTCAGGACCTCTAGCCAGGATCTCCAGCCAAAATTCTGGTCGGAGTTCTCCAACCAAGTTCTGGTGCCATGTTCTCTCGCTAGGTTCTCCAGCCAGGTTCTCCAGGTTCTCCAGCCAGGTTCAGTCACCAGGTTCTTTAGCCAGGTCCTATCCGGGTTCTTTTGCCATGTTCTGTCTAGGTTCTCCAGTGAAGTTCTGTAGCCAGGTTCTGTCCAGGATCTTTTGCCATGTTCTCTCCCTAGGTTCTGGTTAGGATCTGACGAGGATCTGATTAGGAGCTGATGAGGATGTGATGAGGATCTGATGTTTATTGTCTTGTTACATCCATATTTATACCAGCCGATTTTAATCCTGTCAATTTCTATTACAAAGGTTAGGGCGTTTCTTATCTCCATTCCAGGGAGTAAAGATTATGTAGCTTAACTACCCGCCTGGCACTTAATTAAGGGGTTATATCCCCTCCCTAACCTCAGGGAAAAATCCCCACCTGGGGAAACAACCTTTCTCGGAGAGGTGACCTTGGTTAAAACACATAGCACCAAGAGGGTGAGCAAACATATTAAGAACAGTATGCCATATATGCCAGGTCCCTTGAAACAGCAAGGATGGACCGGCTCCCGGCAGAACTATATGACAGGCTTACAGCAATGTTTACTCTGTACCTCCTTTAATAAAACTCAAAATGAATCCTCAAATGTATCTGCAAATTACTTCCTATTTGCTAAAGCAAAGTTCAACGCTCTTTAAAAGACAACAAAAACTGGATACTCAACGAATAACACACAATGTTTGACCTAAAAAAAAATTACTAGACATGCAAAGAAGCAGAAAAATATGACCCATACCCAAATAAAAGTCAGGCAATAAAAATATACCCAGAAATGACCGAGATGGAATTAGCGGACAATAGGTTTTTAAAAATAAAGACTTAGTCAAAATAGGCTCAAAGATTATAGGAAAATGTGAACGTATAAGAAATTGAAGACCTCAGAAAAAACAAATGAAACTTCCAGAGCTGAGAATGCAGCATATAAATGAAAACTGCATTAGATGCTTAAATCTTTCATAAAATTCCTTATTCAATAATGTGTTCTAGCAAAAGAGTATGGCACCATCTAAAAAAAATTAAACATAGACTTGCCATTTGATTCAGCAATTCCACTTCTGGGTATACACCCAAAAAAGGCCTCTTGAAAACAGGGACCTGAAAATATGTTTTTACAGCCATGTTCATAGCAGCTAAAAGATAGAAACAACCCATATCCATTGGCAGATGAATGGGTAAACAAAATGGGGTATCTTCATACAATGGAAGGTTATTCAGCCTTAAAAAGAAAAAAATTCCAACACATGTATAACATGGATGAACCTTGAGGACCTTAACCTAAGTGAAATAAGTCAATCACAAAAGGACAAATACTATTATATAGTTCCACTTACATGAGATATCTAACGTATTCAAATTCATAGAGACAAAAAGCAGAATAGTGGTTGCTAGTGGCTGGGGGGTAGAGGTGAATGAAGAGTTAATGGGAATAAAGTTTCAGTTTGAAAAGATGAAAAAGTTCTGAAGATGGATGGTGGTGATGGTTGTACAACAATATGAATGTACTTAATGCCAATGAACTGTACACTTTAAAATGGTTAAAATAGTAAATTATATGTTACATATATTTTACAACAATTAAAAAATAAAGCTTTTAAAATGTTTTTATTGAATTTTTAGAGAGGGATAGAGAGATGGAAACATGAATGAGAGAGACACATCGATCAGCTGCCTCCTGCACGCCCTGACTGGAGATTGAGCCTGCAACCCAGGCATGTGCCCTGACTGGGAATCGAACCAGGGACCTCTTGGTTCATGGGTTGATGCTCAACCACTGAGTCACAACGGCTGGGCCAAAAAATGAAGTTTTTTTCAAAGTGTTTCAAAGTCCTATTTTTTGATAGGACTACTTATTAAGGGATTTTTTAAAAAGATGACCTACTTTTGTTGTTACAAAATTTGGGATAAGCAATGTTTATCTATCTCTTTTTCTTTGTTCTTGGACTTGTAGGTACACTGGTTATCTTCATACTATCCTCTGGTGAACCATCAATTCCTCCCTTTAACGTATCCCTCCAGTCATTCATAGTTTTTGTAAATCTAATGTAAACCAATATGCACAAAGTTTTCACAATTTTTTTGGTTTAACTCAAATTAATACGTTTAGAATCTCAAATAATAAAAATCTATAGATGCTTAAATCACTATAAGCAATTCTTCCCCCTACATATAAAGCTAGTTTTGTTTTCCCTTCTAAATAGATCTATCTGTTAGCATTTATTGCATGCCTCATGTGTCAAGTCCTATGCTAGCAGCTTTCTCATGGAAAAGACAAGTCACACAACCAGACAGAAATTTTCAGGAGAGAAGACACTAACATTTGAGTAACTATTATGCATTAAACATTTTTGTTAATTATTTCCTCTAATATCATTGTGAATTATACTTTATTATTACCCATTTTAAAAGTATAACCAAAAGTTAGGAATTAAGTAACTTGCCCATGGTATTATTTTTCTCCATTTTTTACATTTGTATAAACTAAGTCTTAAAGATATTAAAAAGTTCATAAATATTTTTGTAAAATAAAATCATAATGTAAAATAAAACCCACACAGTTTCAAGGTCCAAACTCTTTCCATTTACACCACAGAGTCCCTATAAAATATAACCTTATTTCTGTTGCACACACATCTGGGCAAATTTGGGTTACTGTTTTATCTGAAATACTTTTCTATATAAATTTATAAAACATGACCATATGAAACATCTCCCATCCCTCATGGAGGATATAGGCCAATTAAACATGGTCAGCCAAACTTGTAGAGTGAGATTTCATCAGTTCCATCCCTCCTAGGAATTGAATATATCCCCTAAAACAGCGATTCTCAAAATGTTGTTCCCAGACCAGCAGACAAAGCACCACATCTTCTAAATCATAAACTCTGAGAATAGGACTCAGAAATCTGTTTTAAGAAGCCCTTTTGGTAATTATAACACATGCTAACATTTGAGAACCTCTTCTCTAAAAGATGGGCAGAGCCAAAGGAAGGAGTTCCCTGTAAGTTTTCAGGGTTTTGAGGTTCAACTGTCTTAGAATACAAGGTATTCTCTTTACTTTCCCCACCATAGCAAACATACAAATACTTAATTTTAATTAAGATAACTTCCAAAATATTATATCAAAATTTATTCCAGCCCTAACTGGTTTGGCTCAGTAGATAGAGCATGGGCCTGTGGACTGAAGGACCCCAGGTTCGATTCCAGTCAGGGGCACATGCCCAGGTTGCTGGCTCGATCCCCAGTAGGGGGCATGCAAGAGGCAGCCAATCAATGATTCTCTCTCAGCATTGATGTTTCTATCTCTCTCTCCTCTCCCTTCCTCTCAGAAATCAATAAAAATATATTTTAAAAAGAATTTACTCCAATAAAACTAACTAAATACAAAATAACTGCTTCAACCTTACATATTCCAGACTGTTAACTATAAATGTCTGTGTTAACCTATCACCAATAAGGATTATTTCTACAATTAGTGTAATTTTAAAGTCTTTATCGCCCATTAAGAATAGGCCCATATATATTTTTTTCAATATCCCTCTGGACAAGTCCATTCAATTCATTTGAATTATTCAGCTTTCACTGTGTTTTTTTTTTATTGTCACAGTTTTAATTAAGCTTATCAAAGAAAATGGTAATAATTTATCAAATTACCTGTGTATATAACTTTTCTTTCCTGGGATTCAACAGACCTTTTCCTGTGCTTGTGTGCTTTTTCACGAAATCTTACCGTTATCACTGTATTTGGATTACCAGCATTGTAATTAGCTTCAGGAAAAGATTTGGTTTCCACAAGATTTCCAAACTTTTTGTTGACAAAATGGTGAACAGCTTTTCTGTGGTCTTTGTTTGTATCAGGTTTAAAGGTAAATTTGGAATTTTCTTTCTTTGCATCCAAGTATTTAAAAAAGTCAGATGCTTCTTCTTCAGATACCAAGTGACAGAGTTCTTTATACTCAAGATTTGGTTTTACAACAATTTCACTGTTTTTTCCTACAGTTATTAAAAAAGGAAACTTCTGCCGAATAGCACTATGCAAAATAGCCCTCTGGTTTTTGTCAAGGATTCTGCCCAGTGAGAATTCAGGAGATGGTCCAGTCAGCTCACTTTCAGAATTCCATTTCTCTTTTATATCACAGGCAAACTGATCCAGTAGTTCATTAGTTTTTTCATCCAACAAAGAGCCTAATGCATAAATTTTTTCTTCTTCACCTTTGGAAGTTCCATCATGGATAGTATCTTCCTTTTCTGAACCAGACTGATGATTCTGGTCATCATCGGAGCACGGGGCCAATATACTGACTTTCTGGTTGCTTCCCTCTTCAAAGACTAAATTTTGCAAACCTAGTTTTGTTTTTTTGGCAAAATTATTTGGCTCGGGCAGTCCTTTACTCATCTTGTAAATAGGTTCATCAGTGGCCTTATTAACTAACTGTCCCCGCTCATCAATCTCAATAACAACAAAGTCACTTGGCGAGCTTTTTATGGTGCCATGAAATCCAACATGATCAGTAATGAAACATAAAGAACTAAACCTTATTCTAAAATCTGTATCCTCTTCCATTCTTAAATAACAAGGCCTACAAAAGAAATAAAAGTTTCTTCAGTTAGTTACCAGAAAGAAAAGTTGCAGCTAACCAAACTAAATGTTTGCAGGGTTTATTTAATTATCTTTATCCCTTATATTCCATAAGAACAAGAACCTTGTCTGCCTTACTATCTCCTAGTTAGAACACTGTCAAGCACATGTGGGCAAGCAATCAATAGTGATTGTTGAATGAATGAAACGAGTACACAATAAGAACTGGAAGAGTGAAGAGGAAGAGAGATGAAGTCTGCCGCTGATAAACCAGGAAACGCATAATACAAGAAGTGGCCATCTGAGTCCTCAACACTGTCCAAGCGATGGAAACGATGCCCCGTAGAATCATACGCAATGTCAGACAAAATACGCTATGTGCTAGAAACCCGAACAGCCCAAGTTCAGAGCAGCAGGAGGAAGCGTCTCCTAGTCCCGTTCTGGAAAAGACGGTTGGATTAGTGACAAACTATGGAAGACACTTGATGTCCTGCCAAGGCCTTAGCATCCACTGAGGGGTCCAAGGACGGCCGCGGGAGGTGTTCGGGTGGGAAAATGACACCGTCCCCGGAAAGATGGTTTAGCTCGATGACTGCGGGCACTGAGCAAGACACACCTGATGAAGAGTTAGGAGCTGGAAAGCAGTGTCACCAAGAGCACGGCTGTAAGACGGGCCTTGGAAAGAACTATGTTGCACTCTTTCCCCAGCAAAAGGGAGGAGGCATTCTAAGCTGGAACAACTTGGGGGGAGCCTTTCGATGAGGGAGTGACAACCAAGCAGCCTGGTAAGGGGTATGGATCCACGTGGAGCTGTGCATCAGGTTCCTCAGCTGCAGATTTGCTGACGAGGGTGCGGGGTGGAGAGGGAGAGGGCAGTTTGACACACACACACACACACACACACACACACACACACACACACAGTAGAGAAACTGCTGGTTGAGGGCAGATTCCGGCAAAATGATAGAAATGGAGGCAGGGAGCGCCTTTCCCCTCATGCTCTTACTTCCCCAAACGCCAAAGCTCGGCTGAGCTCACTCCTACTTCCTAGTGCCGTCCCCACGCCACCGAGCTCATGTCGTGACTGCGGGCGCGTCCAAAAGTGCCCCAGACGCCGCCGGCACCTCCACCTGCCTCTCCCTCCCCCACCCCCGCCTGCCCAAGGCGAGATATTGGCCCAAGTCGCCTCCTCTTGGGGATCAAGAGTAGGGGCCCCAATGCCAATCATGTCATCGCCCCACACTCAAGCCCGGGATCGCGCAAGGAGCCGGACCCCGTCTACCTCACATACAGGTGAAGGCGTCCACCGGCACAAGCCAGGGCGCCTGCCGGGAGACACAATATTTAGCCTCCGACAGTGGCGAATTTAAAGGGGCAGGCTCCGACAGTGGCATATTTAAAGGGGCAGGCCCCCACTTAAAGTAGCGCCTCACGCGAGACCTAGAATTTCTCACGTTGTGGAGCCGCCTGAAGGCTCGGAAAGGCAGGGGAGGGCGGGACTGAATGGAGCCGGGGGCGGAGCCTACAGGGTTGGGCCGCCCCGCCCCGCCCCTTCCCGGTGCACTGGCTCCTCCTCCGCCGGCTCAGCTGGGCAGGGTCGGTCCGGCCGGTCCCCGCGCTCGGCGCTCGGACAGGTAAGGGGTCAGGCTGTGTGCGCCTCCTTCCCCGCAGGTGGTCGGAGGTCCGCTCCAGCCGCCGACCCTCTGCCCACGGGTTGTTGAGGGGCCGTTTCAAGTCGCCTAGTCTTCCAAGTGAGAAAAGTTGGAGAGGAAGTAGGGTGCGTGGGCAGAGCTCGCTCCACAGTGAACACAGGGGTGGGTGCCCAGGCATCCGAAAGTGCGGCGCACCCGAGAGGAACCCGGGCGAGGAAAGGCCTCGCCCAGCGGCCCAGGGGCTGGGCCGGACCTCGCTCCCCGCTCCCCGCTTCCAGGGGATGTGTTCCGAGAACCCGGCTAGGAAACCTCTTCCCCTGAGAACCAGGAAGTGAGGCCAGCACCGGGCAGAGATGCTCGGGACGTGCAAAGCATTGCTTCTCCAGGAGAGTCGCATTAGCTCGTTTCTCCTGCTTCCAAGCTCCCAGGAAATTAGACAGTCGAGATGGGGTTGTGGGGATCAGGTAAGTGCAATGCCAGACTGGCAAAGTGTACCTGATAAAACAAGGCTGACCGCATCTGAAAAGCTTGGCCATATCCTCTAACCTCTCATTCCTGCTCTCCGTAGACCCTCACCACCATGCTGAACATTGAGCTTAAATACAGCTCTGTACATTTATTTTTTTTAATGTGATATAACAATAACTTCTGCCATAAAATAATTATCCCTGCATTTTTTTGATCACCTGTTATTGACAGGACTAGGTCCTTGACGTTTGCTGATTTTAAAGCTAATAGCAACTCTTAGGTATTACCGTCTCTGTTTTGCAGATGAGGAAACCAAGGCCCAGAGAATTGAGTTATTGCGCTGGTCACAGCTGGTTTGTGGAAGAGCTATATTGGAACCCAGGCCCATGCAACCTCAAAATCCATCTTCCCTCCACCTCTCAACACTCCCTTCCTCTGGCCAGAGTGCTAATGAAGCACAGTCTGAATTAATTCATTTGACGAGCATTTTTTTTAATCCTATTTGGGGCACAGTCCATTGTCTGTTTCAGAAGGTGCATATGAGTGGGAAGGCGTTGGGTTCCACAAGCTGACACTGGTTTTAGTATATTTCTCAATGATCAGTTTACCTTGTATTCTTGTCTGAGTTGTCTTGTTTGAAAATGTGAATGATGTTCCTTTACCATGAAAATCAATGGTATGGGAAAATAGTCATGGAGATATTTATTTATTTATTTATTTATTTATTTATTTATAAGCAATATGTCCCATTGCACTTCCATTACTCTTAAGTACACTAAAGTAAAATCTTGAACACTTTGAAAGAGGTGATATTTAAAAAACTTATTTTTGCACAGATCACTTATTTTCACTATTGGTGATGCAGTAAAGCAAATGAAAGAACCACCAGAAAGTTCATTTTCAAGAGATAACCACAGTTAACATCTTGGTGCATATTCTTCCAAATATGTGTTAGGGGTGATATATGAATGTATATTTAAAGAAAAATTTTAAATTTTGAGATTTAAAACTTTAAGATATATATATGTGTGAAGGGCTTGTTAGAAAGCCTTCCTTTTTCTGGCATCCCTATGCCATCACCTCTGCTAGAAATCTGGGTGCTGTAGAGCTGATTTTAAGATAGACTGTTTTTATTCTCAATTCCCTGTGTCTTAGCTCTAGCTTTTAGGATTACTAAGCAGTTCTACTTTTATGAGCTTTGTCAGTCACACAGTAGAAATCTGAATAAATAAGAAAAAATAATGTATATAGAGCAACTGCAAAATCTATAGGCTTTTAGGATTTCTTAATTTTAAAAAAATCAGTCTTTCTCTCATTTAACACAAATATTGTGAGTAGCTGCTAAAGTTGAATTTTGTTGGATCTCTGTCCAGAGAGCTGTTTGTATAGGAGGTAAGGTAGACGGATCTATAATAATAAAAGCATAATATGCTAATTAGACCAGACAGCTGAATGACCTTCCGGAAGTCCTTCCGGACGAAGCCGCAGTGGCAGGGCCGAGGCAGAGGCAGTTAGGGGCAATGAAGCAGCCAGGTGAGTGGTTAGGGGCGATCAGGCAGTCAGGCGAGTGGTTAGGGGTGATTAGGCAGGCAGGCAGAGTGGTTAGGGGTGATCAGGTAGGCAGGCGAGTGGTTAGGGGCAGGCAGGCAAGTGGTTAGGAATAATTAGGCAGGCAGGCAAGTGGTTACGGGTGATTAGGCAGGCAGGCAGGGGCAGTTAGGGGCAATCAGGCAGGCAGGCAAGTGGTTAGGGGTGGTCAGGCAGGCAGGAGAGTGGTTAGGGGCAATCAGGCAGGCAGGCAGGCCAGTGGTTAGGAGCCAGCGGTCCTGAATTGGAGGGATCAGGCCTAAACTGGCAGTTGGCCGGGCTGAGGGACACGCCCTCCCCATGCACGAATTCCAT